GGAGTCTCAAGCAAACTTTTTCCACTCTACTACGGTCCGTGGGAAGTTCTGGATGTGATTGGCAATGATGAATTTGACCCCTCATACACAGTTGTTGTGCCACCTCATCTGCGCACATACCCTGTCTTTCATGCATCAAAACTGTATATCCACCATGATGCTAAGTCCTTCGATTACCATGAAGACATGATTCCTCGTGCAATCGATGGCGGTCATGAGATGGACAGAATCAAACAGCACGTAGGGAATGGACATAACCGACAGTACTAGGTTCACTTTATGTATCACCCATTGGACGATCTCTACTGGATATCCAAGAAGGAACTACTGCGCAACGCTCCTCGCGTTCTCAAGGCCTACGAACGACAAACCACCTCTAATGCTGTTCCCAAAATCTTTGCAAAGCTAACTGCAATAAAGTACTCTCAAAATCTCTTTGCCTTATTTGCTTATGATGCATTTGTCGAGGACTCAGACTGAGTTACTTGCTCGAAGGGACCTCGCTCTTAAGGGGGGGGTAGTGTGATGACCCGACCAAACACACACTGAGACACATAGCTGATTTCTGAGTTTTGCTCACGGACTGAATGCCTTGCTGAGTTTCCCGCTTGCCACTAAGTTCTGCATGTTTGTGTGTGTGTGCGTGCTTGCTGGTCTGCATGTATGTCAAAGTGCTGGTTGGCTTGAGTGTGTGTGTGACCCGCAAGGGTACTTGTCCGTTCGTTGGGCCCTCAGGGCTGGGGGAAAAACACTCGAGTAGCAGGTAGGCCGGTACAGTACCTTGAAGAGGTAGATGTGCGGGTACTGAAGGCCGAGCAGAAGAAGACAAAAGTGGCATTTTGAGAGGCCTAGTAGTTGTAGGCTAGGTCTAGGCGGGTACCAGTCCAACGAGTCTGAGTCTAGGGCCTGTACGGGCAATATCAGAGTCTGCAATGATGATTCCCTCCGAAAGGGAGGAGGTACCGGTTGTTGGGAAGGCCGAGAGGCCTAGAAGTCACCGGCCAAGAGGCAAGCAGGCCGCTATATCTCCAGGCCGGGCGAAGAGCCCAGCCTCATTGTCGGTGTGCAAGTTTGGCGACACACTGGTTGGAGCGTTGGATGGAGCAGCGCTGCTGGGGAAGAAGCAAGGACACGGAGGAGGAAGAAGAGCAGGGGGAAAGGGGAGCGCCAGAGGTACTTACCTGGCTATGGTGGCGGACATTTTCATTACCTTGGTGGGTGCTGCAGCAGGAAGACCCCAGCGGGGGTAGAGCCACACCAAGAAGCTTTGAGGCAAAGTCAGGCATGGCGGCCTGAGCTGGAGCAGCCATAGCTGCCTTGGGTTGTCCTTTGGACATCAGGGCAAGGCCCAGTAGTCCGCCATAGCCTCGACCGATGAGAGTGAAGAATGAGGGAGGTGGCCATGGCTATGGTGGATCTCAAGTGATACCTGCAGTAGAAGAGGAACTTGGACATGATTCTGGATCAGCCATTCAACATTGTACTATTATTTCTTGTATGAATAAGAGAGGAGTAAAGGAGGAGGAGAGTGTTGGGCAAAGAAGAAGAGCTTTGTCATTTGTCTATGCTGGTGTACATCATCTTCTTCTTGTTTATTTCTTCTTCTTCTTCTTACCCTCTCTTTCCTCTCAAGTTCATTCATTTCTTTCTGCAGTTGGATGGCATTATACTATCTGATGAATGTGTATCTCGAAATTGGCCAGGATCATAACACAATTCATTCCGATTTTGCTCATCCTATCAATGGAATGTGTGTGTGTGTGTGTGTGTGTGTGTGTGTGTGTGTGTGTGTGTGTGTGTGTGTGTGTGTGTGTGTGTGTGTGTGT